CACAATGAATGAATGAAATTTTCATTTGTGTAAATGAAAATATTTATATGAAAACAGAAGTGACCCGATATTGTATTGTGTTGCGTTTTTCATCGCTGTATTGAGTTGCGTCTGTGTTGTGTTTGCCTTTAAATGAGTGTGTTTGGTATGTACGTAAGGATGCTAATTGACATGGGTTCACACCAACATACACAGCTAATTATACTGTTTTGTAATTAGTGGTAGCATACGTAATACAAATTAAATATATTTAAATTGTACGATATTATTAATTGTAAAATTTTTTATAAAATTATTTTTAAATTACTATATTTCAAAATGGAATGAATAAATTTAAATTAACTTAATTAAACTTAATTAACTTAAAGACAAAAAGAGAACGTTTTGTGAATAGTAAAAACGTAATTTGATATGATAATTATTACAGAAATAAAATGAAATAATCTATGTTGAATATAATACATTAGCAAGATTGTTATTTTTATTATTTAAAAATATTATTATGAAAATAAAATAAATTTATTTATACTAAATTGAGTATAATTCATTAACAAATTTGTAATTATTTAAAAACAAAAAGAAAAGGAAACAATTTATATTAAATATAATTCGTTTATAAATTTGTAATTATTTATAAATATTATTATAAATAGTATTCAAAAGTTAGTTCAAAAGTTATAAAACTTTTGAACTTCCCTAAAAAATTTCAAAGAATATTAATTTTATTAACTAAAATTTATGACAGAATTTGTAATTATTTATAAATATTATTAAAATTAAATGAAGTTATTTATGTTGAATATAATAGATTAAGAAATTTGTTATTATTTATAAATATTGTTATAGAAATAAAATGAAATTATTTATGTTGAATGAAATAGATTACTAAATTTGTTAATATTTATAAATATTATTATAGAAATAAAATAAAATTTTTTATGTTGAATATAATTGATTAGTAAAGTTATAATTATTTGTAGATACTAATACAAAAATAATATTAAACTATTTATTTTAGAGTAGTTATGAGTTTACTTTTTTAAATCTTTCTGTTTTATGAAAAGGTTTAAGTGAATAAAATGAAAAAAAAATTTTATTTTATTTTTATTTTTTTTTCTTTTTGTCCTCTCTTATTTATTTTGTAGGGCACAATAGATCTTTATGTCGCAGTGCACAATCCCTTCTTTTTTTTAAATATTTATTTTGTATATAATTTATACGGAAATATAAATATTATTACAGAAATAAAATAAAAATTATTTAGTTTGATAATAATTCATTAATAAATTTGTAATTATTTATAAATATTAATACAGAATATTAAATATATTAAATTTTATATATATATATTATATAGAAAATATAAAATATATTAAAATTGGAAATGATTTATGTTGAATAAAATACTTTCGTGGATTAAATTGTTATTTACCTTAACAAATATTTTCTGACTAATTAGGTAATGACTTTGAGATTTCTTTAAAATCTGTAAGAACTAATACTTAATTAGAGTATTATCATAAATATATTTTTAACGTCAAATTTGATAAAAGAAACTGAATTGTAAATATTAACTATTATTTTGAATAAGAGTTTATTATCGAGTTGAAATCAAACTACAACAAAAACTTTGTTTATTATTTTTATTGTTTTCAAGTATTAACATAATAAAAATTAAATCATTTGAAAGAAAATGTATTTCATCCAACCTTTTGAAAATATATTAAATATTTTACTATTCACATAACAACAACAACAATACCACAGACATATACTAAAATATATTTTTACTTATAATAATAAAATGATAGCAGAAATCACAAGACGATAGCTACAATGTTTCTAGGACACAAACTGAATAATTCACATATAAAAATTATTATCTACTGATTTGTTTAAAATCGTACATGAAATGTCAGTAACATTATGAGGCATAATGTCGACAACATTTAACAGCATCACAACATATATACTTAATCCTTACAATTTTGCACTGCTTCTATCTAGAATTTTAAACTATGCCATCACTGACATCCTAGACAATGTGTCACTTGGTTGTTGTTATTGTTATTGTGTTATTTCAGCACTACTGTTCTATTACTGACATTCCCTGCAGATTCCTGCTAGCAGATACATTCGCTACATGTGTTGTGTATCGTCATCAACAGCGTCATCATCGTCACACTAAGTGTTGTATCTACTTCAAAAACTCATCACCAATAAAACGAGAATATATACACAAATTCGCTGTGACGATAATAGAGCCAAAAATAGGGAAAAAGATTTTATCGAAAGAAATTTAAAACAATCAACACAAGAATAGCAGAATACCCAACAGCTCATTTGGCTTGACCAGCGGCATATGAAAATTGTGTGTGCGCCACATATCCTGCTGCGTCTGATAATTGTCCTTGCAAAAGGCGCATACATGTGTGTAAATTAAAAAAAAAATACAAATACATGTATATGAAAAAAAAATTTTCAAAAATAAAAACTACTTTAAACTCAATTTCATCGACAATTGCAAATAATTTGTAAAATATTTTTTTTACATATTATATGACTCAATAATCAAATAGTAAAGTTCAAGTATTTCAAATCAATATGTCAATTCAATATAAATTTATATTGATTTAATTACTTTTGATACACGAAATTTGAATTCATTTCGCAATTTATTGATGTTGTTATCAATAATTAATCTAATAAAGCTTCGTTTTAAAATAAAAAAAAATTGTAAAAATATTATCAACACAGAATGCATGCCATTTAAATATAAGTCAATTTAGTCTCATAATAAAATCCTTGTATTGAAGTTAAAAATAATTTAAGGCGTATAATAATGATAGCTAAAAATTGAAACTGTTTGCTCATGAAAAGTCAAGATCTAGGCACAGAAATAAATCGTAATAATTAAAGGCATATAATTTTAATAGATAGGACTTAAAACCTCATTATTGCCTCATATTTTCAAAAAATCAAAGAAGTCATTTCGACGAAAGATAGCAAGTCGAGTTCCGGACATATAAATGTTATGTACATAAAAGATTATAAAATAAAATCGTTGTCTACACATTTTAATTGAAGCATTAACGAATGTTAACAAAAAAGAAAGAATAAAGATTGCTTAGAACCTTTCTTAGACCAATTAAGCTATATTTCTGAATTTTGCTAATGTTTCCCAAATTTCTAAACATTTTGCGAGTTAAGAGGATTCAGTACTGTGTAATTAAACACAAATATTTAATATTAATATGTGATAGTATTTATTACTAATAATTAATATTAAAAATCGTATTAATCACAAATACTTTTATTGGGATATAATGTTAAAGAGCAAAAAGTAATTATATTCTTATATTTTTTGCTTATTATACTTACATTTATTTTCTTAATAATTTAATAAATTATTTATTCTTTTTCTACTACTTTTTATATTTTTTTACATTAATTTAACTGAATGTATCGGTACAGTTAGTGCCTAATAGCATAAATTTTATTATCTCAGACATTTTCTAGACTAAAATTATGTCGACACCAATATCAATTAAATTTATTATTTAATATGCACTTAGCCTTGAGAAGACAATATCATATTAGAACGACAGGAAGTAAACTAGACCATTAAACCAATAAAAGTTTTTCATTCTGAATATAATGTGTTTTATAGTTTTGATTTTTATACTCACATATGCATACATCATTACGTATATTGTTTAATATATTGCCAAATATATTATTAAATATATTTTTAATATATAACAAAGTATA